CAACGATCGGCCGGTTCTTTGAGCGACCTCGGATTCAGTTCCCGATCTTGACTCTATCCGAAGCCCTTGACCCTCAAGTCCGCCATGCCTGTTTCTTTATCCGCCACCGAGCGGTCCAACCCCCCGCCGAGAAAGAAGTCATGCGGAGCTTGCATCAAGGCAAAACGGCGTTGCACGCTCGAGGTACCGGCTTGTCAGAGATGTTCCCAGAGACAGTTGAACTGCCAGTATCCCGCCGGGTCTATGCCCAAGAGAAATACGCCCAGGCCGCCTCCCATCCAGGATGACCCTCTTCCACATTTCGACCACGACCCTTTTGGGCAATTGGCGGGCTCGATGGCTCCCGAGATCGGTACCACTGGGCATGGCTTTCTCTTGTCTCCCACGTTGGCACTTGCTGACATACCAATGAGCGGTTACACGCAAGATCCCAACGTGACGGACGTAATGCTTGACCCATATGCCGCAGATCTCGGGCCGTTCCACATGTCCAATATCCACCTCGACCTTTGTAACAACGTCATGTCCATGGATAACATCCCAGACGAGATGCCCATCATGCCAGAAATTAGTGACAGCAGTCTCGGGTTCTACCTCACCGCGCCAATGCGGTATCCACTGGATAGCCATGCCCGCGAGGACTTTCTCAACTTTGCCCTCAAGTCACGCCTGCGATACTCGCTCGACACCATCATTGCCAGTCCCAAGCAAATGGTTCTTCAGAATCAGACGGCCTGGTGCCACCCTAACCTCTACGAGCATTCCATGCCCAGGTCCATGCAAGGTAAATAATCACTTCCATTATGATAGACGAATATCATCAAGAAGCTGACGCTCTCACTCTCAAGATGCACAAGCTGCTTGCGCTTTGTACATGGCCAAGAACAATGTGAATTCCTATGTCATTCTTCGTTCGCTGGAGACCGGCGTCCGAGAGCTCGGCGAGAGCCCCATGCCCACCGACGGGCTCGAAATCCTTGCCCGGGCCCAAGCCCTCCTGCTCTACCATATAATGCGGGTATTTGATGGCGACATTCGTACCAGGGAGCATGCCGAAGCTGCGACACAGTATCTGGAGGACTCGGTTGACGCCTTGGCTGCCCATTTCTCGTTCAAGGACGAAGAGCCCGCTGGTGATCCAGACGACCCGACAAGAACTTTGCACCTGGGCTACCAAAACTCTGGTCAGCCTTCCGAGCAGATAGACCTCCATGCCTGCACAACCGACTACAGCTACAGTTATACTGCAACAATCCCAGTACTAGACCTCGAGAATCGCTCCCACCAGCTGGCAATGTCTTCGGTACACCCTCGCCGGGCCTTCTGGGACACGTGGATCTTTGAAGAGTCAGCCAGACGCACCTGGATCCTCACCTTCTTCCTCATTCAGATGTACCGCCTCATCAAGGGAAACGTCCCGGCCGAGTGTGATGGGAAACTCACAAACCATCCATTCACCGCCTCGGCGCATCTGTGGCAAGCACCAGATGCCTTGAGCTTTGCAACTGCTTGGAAGACGAAGGAGCATTTTATGGTCAAGAACGGAAAGTGAGTTGCTCGTTCCAACACACAACATGTCGGCTTGTTGATCAAAAGAACTCCTGTGCTAATAGTGAAGATGGTGACAGTTTCTCGCCCATCTTTGAACGGGCAAACGGGGACGACGTTGATGTTTTTGGCAAGCTTCTCATTACCACGCTCATAGGGATTGATGAGACGAGGCATTGGCTGCAGTCGAGGGGTGGGTCCTTGTAACGGCCCCGGGTTCGTCTTCATACAGGTCCAGGATACGGTCTTTGAGTTCTTGGAAAAGGCGAAAGACAAGGATGTGTAGGGGTTTACTTGGGTTTGAAAACATCTCTACAGCACTGGAATAAGCAGTGTTTCTCCTGTCATTACTGAACTTCAAAGCCGCCTACTTTGCGGACAGATGATTCAATCCGTTTACGATACGGTACCTAGCTGGCCTCACCACGGACCAGCCACGCGGGGTGACGTTTTGATCAGGGGGCAGCTGTCATCGAGTAAATCACCAGGCTAGCACCTTCCGTCACGCAACCGATGACTAGATTTGAAGCGGGACCTGGCACAACTGGAGGGCTGGGCCCCACCTCGGTGTGTTTTTTTGATCTCATTCACCGTGGCCCGTGGGCTGGCCGGCAATTCTTTGCGTACATAATTCTGCTACTTAACTCACCAGGTCCACGCCATTCTGATTCTTTACCCAACTTCCTTTCCAAACCATCCTCACCCGCACCAGGATCTTCCTCCACATTCTACCATTTACCCTCGCTTCCCAGCTCTTGAACACAGTCAACAACAAGCAATCGTCAACCAACAACCCCTATTCTCAACCCCTTACCTACGTACGCGTAACTAGTGGATTGCCTGTGTTTCGGACACTGATCAGTCGCCCCCTAGTGAAAAATCCCCTTCTCAATCCTCCTTTCCCTCGAATTCCTTGACTGTCTCCTGCAAGTCGTCATCTTCAGACCTCGCCTCGTCTTTGACAATCAGCATTCGACACTTTGCACGACCTCCAGAACCGAACGAGTCCAGTCCTACACACTGTCAAGATGGCCGCAGCCAGTTTCGCCGCTCTCCCTATGGAGCTAGTCGAGGAAATTATCGGTTGGCTCCCTGTCAGCGGTCAAGCAACAGTCTCGCTCGTCTCCCGGCGCTTTTACAGCATCGCCATGTCGTTTATGTACAGGAACAACCGGAGACACGACGGATCCTCGGCACTTCGGGAATCCGTAATTCTGGCCAATATCAAAGGAATTGAGCGAGCACTCGAGCAAGGACTCGACGTTAATGCCTCAGGCGAAGATGGTCGCACAGCGCTTCACCATGCTGTGATGTACAGGAACGGCTGTACGTACGGTCCAGGGTCACCTTTGGAACGTATTCTTCAGCTCCTGCTGGATTCCGGAGCCAACCCGACCGCAAAAGAGGCATCACGTTATCAAGCTAGCCCTTTTCATTTCGCGTGCCAGAAGGAGAACTACGCGGCAGCCTTGTTCTTCCTTCAAAAGCAGGCAGCAGGAGAAATCGACCTCAAGCTGAACGCGGATGCCATCAACCGGGCCCTGCGCGAGGTGGTCCAGCCTCTGGGCCACTGGGATACCTGCGGCGTCTCCCACGAGATCAGGGATGTTTATGTCCAGAATATCGAGTACTTACGGAAGAACCACCGGGAACTGGTACGACAACTCCTGGGAATGAAGGGCGTTCGTGTCAACGACCACTCGTCAGTGGGCTTTTGCCATGCCGCGGGGCCGGGTGGGATGCTCGATTACAATGACGTTACGCTTCTGCACTCAGCTTTGATACCAAGGCGCAATCATTTCATCAGAGTGATCAAGCCAGACATCGAGGTCGTCAGGCTGCTACTGGAAGCAGGGGCCAGACCCAACGCCACCACTCGGGATCATTCCTCCTGGACAACACTCAATCTGGTGGTAAAGCTCGTAACCCGCGGTCTTGGGCCGTCAGAGAAGGAGCTCGTCGATCTTGTCGATCTTGTCGAACTTCTTGTTGCCTACGGCGCCCGACTTGACACAGTGGGTGGACGTGTCAGATTCGGTGCACCCGACAGGACCTACCCTTTTTTCCATGCGATCTACCAGGCTTTCTGGCACTGTGGTTGGACTAATGACTTTTCAAAGCTCATGGCCATAATCAAGGCGATGCTGGACTGCAACGGTCGAACAAGAATCTTACCAAAAGGACACATGTCCCGTGCGGCTGATATGCTCGTGGAACTGTGCGAAAAGGATAATGATGAGATCATGGTCCTGGCTGCTTGGGAATGCAGGCATGATGGTGAAACGACGGCACTTAGGAAGGCAATGGCGGACGCGCCAACTCCGATAGAACTGCTCCGGCTTTTGAGCGATTACGGTTGCGAGTCGAAGAGACTCGATCTCTCCTTGAAAAACTGGGAGGATAGCAGTGAGGAGGGCGAGAGTGATTCCGATGACGAGGACGAGGACAAGAACGAGGAGCGGCCCTCAAAACCACCTAGGGTTAATGAAGTGACTGGGGGTGGCCAGGAACCCAAGACAACAAGAAGCGGAAGGCGATATGGTTAAGTTTTGACGGTATGATTACCCCCTTCCCTCCCTCCCTTACAAACAGCATCATTCTTGAGCCAAATCTGACATAATACCAAGCCTAGATCTCCAGCGTGGTTTATCGACGGCTCGATAAACTTTTGGATCAACTCGCTCACGTCTCTGTCAATCCTCATAACGATGCTAGATGACAATTCAACTTTGTACCAATTCTACTGTTATAAGCGTGGCGGTGGACTGTCATGGGCTGGGGTGGCATGGATAGGGCAGAGGCAAATGCCATGTTGATGGTTGCGCCAGGGTGGATTGTAGAATTTGGGCAACTTCTTTCATATATTGGCACCAGTCCAATTTGACTTTCTAGTCCAGTCAGGGCATCTATTCTATCTAGTTAAGGCATTTCCTCTCTAGCTAGTGAAGGCATTCTTTCCAGTCAGTCGATGCATTTATTCCAGCCAGCCAGGGCATTTATTCCCAGCAAGTCAAGACATTTCTTCTGGCCAGTCAAGGCTTCTGTTCCATAAAATAAAGCCGTTTATTCCAGTCTATCAGGGCACCCATTCCCCCAGTCAAGACTTTTGTTACAGATAGCAAATGCATTTATTCGAGCCGGTCAGGGTCTCTACTCGAGCCAGTCAACGCATTTATTCTAGCTGGTTAAGGCAGCTATTCTACACGAGCACTGTCTGTGTACAAGACGACCAATGCCTGAATATGAGAGGAGTGGTGCCTGTTTATTAAACCCCTTTACTTTACATGTGATTATACCTCGGGCAGTCAGAAGTCACGAAAGCCACCTGTGGACCTCTCGACGTTCTACGATGTTTGTGCACTGTATTGGGCGAAGACAAAGTACGGTATCCGCACACACCCCACCCTCAGCTGATGTAGGAGAGTTCCATGACGCAACAACATCAAGTTCAAGGGCCGCTGGTCTAGTGGTATGATTCTCGCTTAGGGTCACAACCCAAAGTTTATTACTTGCGAGAGGTCCCGGATTCGATCTCCGGGTGGCCCCAGACTATCTATCCCAAACAATATACCAGCACACGGTACAGAGTGCAGGAGGAGGGAGCTTAAGCATCTTGGGAAGATGATGGAAGAATCAAAGCGATAGTCAAGCTACTTAAGCCCCATCCTGCATTCTGTGCCGTGTGCTGGTATACACCTCGGGTAGGTGGTTCTTTTTTTTACTTCAAGTCTTTTTTATCGATTTTCGGCATGTTGTCTTTGTAATCCCTTTGTATATAAGTTGAAGATACCCCTTCCTCTATGGGATATGGGATTCCGCACATCACGCCGTCGTCGTTGATATGGAGCTTCAATCTTCATTGCCTGACGGACGTTGATATATCCTAGACATGTGAGTCCACGCACCGGGGTATTGACGATAGTAGAACGGGCAATTTGTTCAACAATGCCTTGTCCTCGTCCAGATATATTCATCCTTCCGCTCTCGCCAGCTTGCGAAATATTTTATCCGTCCACTCATATCCCATCACTTTCAGGGAAACGAGGCCAAGAAAAATAAGGCTGAAGTTTGCATACCCTGCCGCAAGGAGATCTGGGGTAATTCGGTAGTTGTCTGTTTTAGCCAAGACAAGGAACAATTTGACACGGGAGAATTATGGGATTGGTGGATAATTCGGAGACATGTGTGAGACTTGACTCAACCGGAGTGTACGTACCAGACTCGCCTGCATCACATGAGTACATGTCAATGTAACTGACGCCGGTAGACGTTTCCTGCTTGCTGCTCGTTGGTGGTGATTGCTTGGCTCACTTAGCCGCGAGATATCACAACGGATTTTCTGTGCTAGTGTATATGCCGACCAGTCGTCGTTTTCACCGGGTAATATTACTTGGACTACGAGAACGAAATGGGCTTAGTGTAACTCCATGTAGCCTGAACAGGTTGTTTTGTTTGAGAGGAAATCCGGGTGGCGTACGGGGCAAGATATCCCAATTTCCGGGATGGGATTTGAGGAGGGTTGTGTGTTTCGAATATGAACCTCAGCTCGAAAGTTTTCACGAACCGAGGGGAGGGCCTATAATGAGGGCTTCATACGTTCACACTATCTGGAACAACACTGGGATACTGATAATTAAGGACAGTCGAGCTCAATATATTGCCCCTTACTCCTTAAAGCTCGTGTCATTCATAGATTCACCCAGTGCCAGTACCATTTTGCTTCTACATTCCTCTCAACCAGCCAAAAACAGCCCCCATATTCACCATCGAAATGAGCCTTCTGGCTTGTCTCATAACCGCACTATGTGCTCTCTCAAACGCAACACCCACGCCGACCTTCAAAGGACCAGCCGGGGACGGTCAACATCTGGCGGAGAAGAGATCACTGGTCCGAGTCACAGATGTTGCCACGCTCGGATATGCTACCTTGAACGGCGGGTAGGAGCCACACTCAATTGAACTACCAAATAGCATGAACTAATATCTAGAAGGACCTCTGGCGGCTCAGGAGGGAATGCCACGACCACAGTCTCGACACTACCACAGTTCACCGCCGCCGTGAATGAGAAGAATAATGCCTCCCTTGTTGTTATCGTCAACGGTACCATTCGCGGGGACACGAAAGTGAGGATTGGGAGTAACAAGACTATTATTGGGTTGCCGGGGGCAGGTTAGTTCACTTCTTGGCCTCGATATTCGCTCTCCTCGTCGAATCCCATGGCAAAGACGGTCACAGTTGATAGGACATGGACTAACACAAGCACAAAAAAAAAACAAATCAAGGATTCATCGGAGTGGGATTACATTTTCGCAACCAGAAGAATCTCATCATAAGAAACATCAAGTCCTCGTTCGTTACCTCCAAGAACGGCGACGGGCTTACGATCGAGGTATGTAGCCATAAAGATTTCTCACGGGATATCTCCAGACAGCTGCTGATAAGATGATACATACATCTCTATAGAAAAGCACAAACGTCTGGGTAGACCACTGCGAGTTCCACTCCAGCCTATCCAGCGACAAAGATTACTACGACGGATTGGTGGACATCACCCACGGCTCGGATTTTATCACCATATCGAAGTAAGTACTTTACCTGCTGCCCTCTCCTCTTCTCATCCCTTTCCCCAAAGCATTCAAGACATATACCGTACTCTGTACTCACGCACGGGACTGACTCGAATCTTTACATGTAAATAGTACATACTTCCACGACCACTGGAAGACCTCACTCGTAGGGCACAGCGATAAAGCCAACGCCGACGACACAGGCCATCTGCGCGTGACATATGCCAATAACCGCTGGAATAACTGCAACTCACGAGGTCCCTCGGTACGATTCGGGACGGTACACATCTTCAATTCTTTTTATGAAAAGTTAGTTCGTGTTTCCTTTTCCTCTGCTCAAACGAACGAGCCCCTTTTCTCTATTCTTTTCTTTCATTTGCTACAACACACAGGTTGTGTTAGCTTCTTATGCACTCCGCTCTCTCCCTTTCTCGTTTTCGTACCCTGCTAGCAGCACAGGTCACTTCAAGTCTTACCTTGGCTCTCATTCAAGTCTCACTACTCACTCACGCTATGTTTGCTGTGCTTGAGACAAATCACGCCCCCCTTCCAAACAGAACGCAGCAGCGGGCTGGCTACTTATTCATCCAGGAGCCAAAAGTGTGAAATTCAAAGCAGATGAACAAAGTTAACCACATGTAATGATCTATCTAGTATGCACTCAGCAATAAACACCCGAATGGGCGCCCAAGTCCTCATCGAGAGCACCGTCTTCAAGAACGTCTCGGTCCCCATAACAAGCCAGGACTCATCTTCAGTCGGGTAAGCGCACTCACTCCAAGGCCTCTACTACATACCATATCCAATTATCTCCTGCATGAGACTCATTACCTACCTACCTACCTACCTACATACTAATCTACCTACCTACTAACCTGACACCACCCACCCTACGGAACGACTTCCACTTACTGACCGTTGAACTGGTTGGTTGATAGATACGCAACCCTGCGAGATAATGACCTCGGCGGCGGAGTGAATAAAGCCCCAGCCGGCAAGATCACCTCGACATTGATCCCATATAACTATACTCTTCTTGGGTCAGGAAAGGTGGCGGGGAGTGTAAGGCCTGCGGCAGGGGCTACACTCACCTTCTAATATACATATACATCGGTCTCTATACTAGCTAGCTAGCTACTGGTCATTCTTCTTCTCTTGACTACTTGCTCTTGTCTCGGGTAACAAGGTGCTTTTGGGGCTGAGAGCTGAAGGATTGGATTCTTACTGTACGTAGGTCTTTGTTAGGAGGAGAGCAGGATACTGGAAATCTTGGACAGCAGGAATGAGAGGGTCGGCTCGTATATGCATCAGTATTTATAACATGTCATTATCCGTACAAAAGTATCAAGAGATGAGAAACCGTCAAGATATTATGTGGATGTCCACCTGAAACGAGCATGGGTTCTTGTCACGTTGACACAGTGCCGCAAGGTGAAAGAAAAGAAAAGGCCAGAGTTGTATATCATGCTCAAATTATCACGATACGCTAAAGTGGGCATTGCACAACATGGCATGTTCTCTACTACCGCCGTACCGCGGTCTCGCCCTCTAAAATAGAGACCAAACGCTCCGTCATCTGCCCAAGACCACCCAAGCAAATACAATACAGCACAACACCAACCACGTACCACAGTCCCCCCATATGCCCAATACTTAGGCATAAAAGTTGACAGTCTAGAAAGCAAGTTAGCATGAATCACACAGAAACAATCATCAAATTTAAAACTCACATCCTTCTTCTTGGCCTGCACCTCAGCAATAGCATCAACATAATGCTCGTGGCCAATCTGGTTCTTGCCCATACGCAGGGCAATCATGCCAGCCTCGACACAAACAGCCTTGAGCATAGCGCCGCCAAACTCGTCCGTGCTCCTCGCCAGCTCGCCCCAGTTGACAGCAGGATCAACCTTCATCTTGCGCGAATGAATCTTGAGAATCTGCCCGCGCGCCTCCTCGTTCGGCAGGGGGAACTCAATCTTGCGGTCGAGACGTCCAGATCGCAACAAGGCAGGGTCGAGAACATCGATACGGTTGGTCGCCGCCAGCACCTTGATGCGGTCGTCCGAGGCGAATCCGTCGAGCTGGTTGAGGAGCTCCAACATGGTGCGCTGCACCTCACGATCACCGCTCTTCTCGCTGTCGAATCGCTTCGTGCCCACGGCGTCGAGCTCGTCGATGAAGATGATTGAGGGGGCCTTCTCCTTGGCTAGGGCGAAGCAGTCACGCACCAGCTTGGCACCGTCTCCTATGAACATTTGTACGAGCTGGGGGCCGGCGAGCTTGAGGAAGGTGGCGTCTGTTTGGGCGGCACAGGCTCTGGCGAGGAGCGTCTTGCCTGTTCCTGGGGGTCCGTACATCAATGCACCTGTTACGATTGTCAGCATTTCTTTCAGCACACACAAAGTATGCCGGTTTGTATGACCTACCCTTGGGGGCCTTGATTCCAATCTTCTTGAACCGCTCGGCCTCCTTCATGGGCCATACGATAGCCTCGATAAGCTCGTCAATCTGCTTGTCGAGACCACCAACATCGCTGTACTTTTCCGTGGGCTTCTCGTCGACCTCCATAGCCTTGACTCTTGAATCGTACTCGGCGGGGAGGGTGTCGAGGATCAGGTATGAATCCTTATTTACACCAATGAGGTCACCCGGCTTGAGTGCCTCGTCGTCGACAAGACCGATGATGGGTAAGAAGATCGTTTGCCTGGTCGACGTCTTGATCACGGCCGACTTGCCCACCCTGACGGCATCCAGGTCGATATTCGCACCCTCCTCGGCTGACTCGGCGGTAGGGTCGAGCTCAAGGAGCTCAACGACGTTGCCGACGAGGTATGGCAGTTGACGGTTGTTCGCAATCTTCTCCTGGTTCTCCTTGATCTTCTCCAGCATGGCCGCCTTCTCGTGTGATAACCGCTGGAATTCCGACTTCATGATTCTGGAGTCGTTCTCGAGCAGGCGCTTGCGAGTGAGGATGTCGG